GCAGGCTCAGGTAACCTGAAAACTTGCATATATGATTAATGTTGGACTGTATGGTACGCTCTGCGCTCTGTCCTTTAAAGTAGTTTTGTTACGAAGTTAAACGTTTAAGCCTCTGCAGCACAGAGGATGTAGGCCTGAAATCCTGCTTCCACTAAAATCAGCTGCAAAATTACCCTTTTCTTTAGACTTCCTATACTCGCTGCAGCCATCAAAGAAGAAAGTTGCACCTTTTCCTTCCACCTTCTTCCTTGGTAACTTCTGAACTTCAGAATTCATGCAGTTCTGTTCTGTTCATCTTAGTATTATTTGGAAGAAATTGATCTGTATGCCTACAACTAATCCAGAAGTTACAGGCGTAGGCCCAACTTTCCTTAAACTTGCTTAGAAGGTAGCCTCTTCTTTTAAGATTGTTTTTCGTTGTTAAAACTCCTCTTTTATGTATTTATGCAATTTGTGGATGTGCTACCTGCTCTCATATTTCATTCTGATGCAGTTTCGTTCAGTTCCATTTGTTTTTCAAAACTTAAACAGATCCGTACGTCTTGCATTTTGTATGTTTGCATCTGCCTTTTAGGAATAACCTAGCTAACAACATATATTTTAAAATTGTTGCTTTGTGTGAGAAATGAATTCACATTGCAGCTTTTTTAATGTGAGCCTTAAATATTAATAAGTAGGAAAAAACTTGCTTGAAAAAAAAATTTTAACATTTTAATTATTTAAAACTAATTTCCCCCTTATGCTTTGAAGAGGTTCAATAGCCTGTGCTGGTCATAAGTTTCAGAAAGGCATCAATGAAAATAAATGTAGAAGATACGTGGTCCTTGATAGGAGCCTCTGGAAAGAAGGGAAGGTCATACCAGGCAGGAGTTCTGTCTCTTATTTATCGTGAGCATTCATAATATGTTCGCCAATAAACTGGGAAACACCATGGGGTTTACTTTCAACGTTCTGACTGCGTGTCACTTTGCTTCCCCAGTAATCTCCTAACTGAAAGAAAATCTGCATGTGTTTTCATGTTATGTCTTTGATTTAGATGCTGATGGACAAGTGAGCGTGAAATTTGGTGTGCTCTTTGCTGATGAAAAGTGTGCCAACCTCTTTGAAGCCCTAGTGGGAACTCTTAAGGCTGCGAAACGGCGGAAGATTGTCTCTTATCAAGGGGAGCTACTTTTACAAGGTGTTCATGACAACGTTGATATTATGCTGCTGCAGGACTGATGCAGTGTTTCAACTATGCATTAATGGAATTGTTTGAGATGGTGACCTCCAACATCCTCTGAATAAGGCTGATTGTTCTAAGGTGTTTTGGTGCATTTTCTATATCTTTATAGTCAAAAGGAAACTGTCCTATTTTGGAAAACATTCCCTTTTGTAATTCTTCCTAAAATGGTACTGTATGTGAGTAAGGTAAAAGGTGCCAGATGTCTGTCTGTCTTTTCTTTTAAAAAAAATCTCAGGTAATGCTCTCAAATGTCTGGTGGTTATTTTCAACATATGAAGAAGAGGACTGATAATTTAATGTTTACAAATCAAAACGTGCCATAGAAGTATAAAATAAAAGCACATACTTAAATTTACATAATTCTTATTGCTGTTGTTTCTCTTTTTATGTGCCATCTGAAATGAAAGCAAACTGAAGTCCTGTAAGGAACAGAGTTAAGTAACTGTACAGAAACCATGACAGTGAGATAGAAATAATACTGCAGCATAATTTACTTGAAGAATGAACATCCTTTAGAGTGACCACATTTTGCACAAAAAGCCATGAACAATAGCTGTACCTCATTCATCTCTGTCAGTGTAATATGCTTTCATTTTTTTGTCCTCTAGACTTTTGAAGGAAGTGGGTGAGGAGCTCCCTGTATGGTGAGGAGCTCCCTGTATGCTTTCATGCAGTGTTAACCAGAAGAGGGTACAGAAGCTTCAGGTTATTTTCCTCACAGAAATCATACTTTCTCTAAATCATTCCAAGCAGAAAGTGGGAGGGGAGAAAAAAAGCCCTTTTGATTGTTTTCTAGCTTACTGCTAATTCTTCTTAGCAGGTAAAAATGCTTCCTCCAGTAGGGAGAAAGAGTTGCTGCATGAGGAAAGCAGCAGTGGGTAAGCAAACTGCTCTGTGCTCGCACTCTGCAACTGCAGCTCTTAAAGTCGCAGGATGGGTGAATTTCCCTTTACTTAGCAACCTTTTACAAGTGGAAAATGCTTGAAAAGTGCCTTTCTATTTCCAGATACAGGAAATGCATGTGTGGTTATGGAGTCTCTCAAAGCTGTGTAATTCCAGCTGCTGCCCCTTTCATCTTTGTTCACTCTGCTTCACACAACAGCAAAACAACTTAAATCCTGTGTGCAAACAGATCTGGGCTGCCTCTGCCTGTGCTGGCCTCAGAATCTGGAGAGCAGGGAAGCGATACACAGGGAAACTTGAGCTGTCTGGGTCCAAGCCAGCTGGAGCGGAGAAGCAGAGCAGGAGCTCAGCACAGCTTACTGGCTCCAGTGCCCTGTCACTCCAGTGCAGCTATTCTGCTTCCAGACCTGCTCTGACAAGTGCCTGCACCCCTGCGCCCCACAGGTGGAAAGAAGGGGTACTGAGACCCAGGCTTTCCGCATTAGGGGTGAGACCAGACAGCTCTGTGTTACCAGATAACCACTGTTTTTTTTTCCTCTGCCTCTATTTTGTCAAAAGCCTGAGTCATTGTCTGGGTTCACAGGGTAGCCTGAGTATGCTGACAGGTACCGAGTGCTTTGTGATTGTCTGAGGTGCTGGTTTTGGTACTGGAAGGCATCAGCCTGCCTCAGCTAGGGTATAGTTCTACAGTTCTCTGTGCATGTTCATGACAGCTCTGTAAGCACTGAAGGGGCCTCAGTCTTGATAATTTAGTAAAAAAAAAAAAAAAAACAACCCAAAAAAGCAAACAATCAGTTTAAGGCTCAGTGCTGAGTTGTAGCTGAGATGGGACAATGAAGAGACCTGTATGTCTCTCTCATTTTGGAATTATCCTTTTAACAAGGCTAATAAATTAATTCAGGGCTGCTGAAAGCACTGTGTAGAAAGAAACAGAGAAACCTGGCACTAAAACAAATCTGTAACGAACAGAGGAGACTGTGACTCTGTACTGCCCTGGGGAGTTGAGACTCATTTTCCCTGTTTCTGAAAGCAGAAGAGGAACAACATGAACAAGGATGTATATCCAAGAACTTGCCCCCTGTGCAATGCTTAGTATGTCTACTGGCCCCAGAATTGTGTAGGCGTCTTCACTTCAGGTTACATACAAGCACTGTTGACTTAATTTCTAAATTTTTTTGGCTAAATTTTTTTTGGCAGAGAAAATCAAATACGTTGCTTCACATGCAGAGGACCACACCTCTGTTAAGGAAATAATTACCACAGCAGATGGCCTGGGTGCAAGATGTGGTTCCTGGAGCACTCGACACAATAATAGAAAAGCTAACTATGGGGAAGGCATTACCTATTTTTGTAACCAGCAGGACAATCAGCAATCAGCAGTCCCCTGTGACGGGTTCACAACCTTGCCAGCCATGGGCCTGAAGGAAGTTTGTAGGTCAGCCAGGAGCACCAGAGATTCCAAAACAGCAAGACATTCTCCCAACTGCTGAGAAGTAGGAAGATATAGAGATCTTTGACAGCAGCACGAAAGAGTTGTCTGTAGGGCTGTTACCTGCCTGTGATAATGCTGGGAAATTAGTGAAAGAGTAACGTAGCTAATTCAGTCTCCATCTACATGAGATCCCAGAGCATGGTGAAACCTTGAAGAGAGGTTAGATGAGCTCCAGGCAAATCCAGCTGGTACAATTTAAGGTGTTACCACTGTATTTCTTCAGCAGGGACTGTTAGAGTAACCGATGGAGTAGACTGTATGCACTCACCTCAGCTGTTTCTATGCAAAATCCAGTGGCTGGAGATAAATGGGCTTTTCAAAGAGATTTTGACTAAGCTGTGAAAGCGCTGAGGTGCACGTTTGCATAACCTCTGGCAAGAGGTGGTGACATCTCAAACTTTTTAGCTATTTCTCTTGTGAGCATAGGTTTTTGCTGGGAACTTGAACAAAAGGTTTGAAATGTATGCAATCGTGTCTTTTACATGACCCTCTAAAGTTGGAATGAATTTTCAAAATGTATGTTGTGTTTTGCTCATTTTTCATCTCCCCTCTGAAGTTTTGCTGGAGGTGTTCTTTCCGCTTCAAGGGATTTCTCTCGGTGACAGCAGTGTCACTTTTGCCATTCATATCTGTGTAAGTTGGTTGTCTTTACTTAGTTTCTTTGTCACACAACACTTGAAAGAACAAGACTAAGAGGAACAGGAAGTTCTTATATGCTGAAAACTGATTATATTGCTGCTGGTGCTTAGCAGTTTTATTTAAAAACAGTTGGAATTTTTCAAATATAGGCTGAGATTGTCTTCTACTCCAGCAGCACATAGTGACTATTAAGCATGTTTAAAAGTTGCAGAGTCTTTGCTAAGATGACGCAGCATGACGCAATGAATGCCACAGGATCGGCCTTATGGCTCCATATCAGAACCCTAACCATTAATGGTATCTTTGTATCGCCTCCACCTAGAAGAAAGGAACAGTCCTAGAGGTTTGGTTTACACCCCACAGCATAATTCGTGTTTGGTATTGCCTGAAAACCCTCTACCTGATAATTGTATGTTGGGAATCATGGTTTCAAGAACTTAAAAATAGAAAAAAAAGACCAACATGCATCTCTTGGAAGCTGACAAAGTCAATAATCTCGCAAAATTCATGTTCTTGTTCGTGTCCTTCTCAGGCAAATATGGGACATTTGGTCTGTAGTGGATCTTCTCTTCTGGTGTGTTGTAAGAAAGCAATTCATTCCAAAGCCAGCCACAAAGGGTAGAACTAAATATGAACAAAGCAATTTGAAGGAAAATTAACCCCTAGACCAAAAAATATGTTTCAGTGCTCTCACAGCTATGTGAAACAGGTGATCTGGCTATGTTGAAGAATATGAGTTTGGTGACCCAGGGACATATTTAAGCCTGAATACCTTTCAGGACAAAAGTCAGTATGACATACTTTGTTTTGTAACCCACAAGATGACGATACATGCCAAAATAATCCGTGTTTTTTCCTGCTTTCCCTA